GTTCATCCAGCTCTACACCTTGTTATCTCAGATTCTCCAGCATCTGCAGTTCCTACTATCTCTGAAACAATTTTAACCCCTATCAAAGACTGTCAGGAGCGGCTCAGTACGGGGTCACGTATAGAGTCTACTTCTTTAAAATGAAAGTAAAGCTCCTTCAACACTGTCCCAACAAACTCTCCTAGGACAGGTACAACACAAGGTTAGATAGCGCAGTTCCCATCAAACATACCCAGGGCAGGTACAGCACAGGGTTAGAGACAGAGTAAAGCTCTCTTTGATTCAATGTGCCAAAGGTTAGTGCTAGCTGGGATAGGTGCCAGGGTGCGCACACTGTGCTTTTTCTCACCTGACTGACTGACTGTTCATTACTAAATTGAAGTTAGATTTCTGTAAAGACCTTGTTTATGTTGATCTCTGCTCCAACTTCATGGCCCATATGATTCCTGAAGCACGAGTGTCTACACAGCCTGAGGCATGTTTCTTCTCTTCTTCACAGGCCTTTGACGTGGTGGAACGCAGTTTCTTTGAATCAATTGATGACTCTCTGGCAGAAAAGGCCAACTTGCTGTCTCAACTTCCTGAGGTAAATCTAACAGTAGCTTGAATTGATGGATCCATCTATATAATATTACACACAGGTTTACTGTTTACATGAATTTGCAGCATACAGTATGTTGTTATCTGATTTTAGGATTGTTCCAATATCCAAAGACTCAGGCCGAGAGTCAAATTGCTTCTTCCTTGCATATTTATAGCAATTGGACTGTGGACCGCCTCTCAATCCCTCCACTGTTACTGACTCTGCTTAGGATACACATTCCTTTCAGCTAAACATCAGGAAAACAAAATCCAATGCCTTTGCTCCCTGCCCCTCACCATGTCACTGTCTGAGGCTGAACCAGACTCCTTTAATTCTGACCTCTTACCCATCCACAGTGTTAATCACTCTATCATTGACAGCTGTGCCTTCAATTTGAAACAGCCCTAAACGCTGCAGTTTTCATCATAAACCATCTGCTTCCCTCTCCTGACTACAAGAAGAGTTTAGAATGCTAGAAACCCCAAGAAAATCAAGATTGAATTAGTGACAGGGCTCACTAAAATTAAAACAAGCAAGTAAACAGCAAGGAAGGAAATAATAACAATATAGAGTGATCCTGGGACCAAATGGTTCCTCCTTACAGTTTTAAAAAAAAGTTAGAGAATATTGAACACTCTCTAGCTATAATCTGAATTGAAAACTGTTCCTTTACATTGGGAATTTGCATATCCGCTTTACTTAAGAAAAGTGACAGACAGAAACTACTGACTTATAGACCAGTTAGGTTGACAGCTGTTCAGTTACTGAATTCAGTTGTGTAAAGTCTTTAGGACCCAGGAGCAACTTGCACTGATATCACAGAGCTACACGTCACTGGGTATAAATAGAACATTGCAGATGGAGTGCAAAATTGTTCTCTGGAACAAGGTTGCAACACCCCAGAACAGTGCTTCTCAAACTATTCCATTATGACCCAATTTTGAGGTTTAAAAATTGCCATGTACCTACCCCTAAGTGAGAACAGCAGTGTTGGGAGGAGATGTGGGTACGGCTGGAACCTGCAAGATTATGGGAACACAACTGATACAGCTCCAGAGTCAGAGCTCCACAGTAGTCATTGCTGCATTGGAGATCACAACTCCAAAATTTCAGCTTGCGACCCCATGTGGGTCCCCACCCCTACTTTGAGAAGCCTTGCTGTACAAGAGAGAACCTTGAGAGCACATGGGTATGAGAAGTTCTTATTTTAATGTAACTGTAAGTCAGGGACTGGTATACCAATGACTACCATGTGCAGCCATATTTAGTGTTAATGTGTGATAAATAAGTGCTACTTTTAAGTCTAAGCCTGAAGATAGCATAAAACTAAAAGAAATGTCTTGCAACAAAGGCCAAAGATGGCACAGACCCTGCCAAATGGGAAAGATACAAAGACTAGCAAAGGGCCATAAAGCAACTTATAATCTTTTTAGCAGCTCTTGTAAAAGGAAACTTTCAAGGGATATCAAAGTCAATGAGAAGAAATTTAGCAGGTGGTCAGAAGCAATGTTGGCCCACGAAAGATTGAAAGTGGGATCTTGTCAATGACTATGGGGACATGGCAGACATGTTGAATAATTATTTTGCCTCATTATTTACAGTCAAAATGAAGGATAGTGAAATAACTCCACAGAGGCTAGTACCCTGTCAGCAAGTCACCATCTCAGAGCCAGCTCTGAGTGTACAGAACCTCTGACATTCCTGTTTATATCTCAGTCAAAGCTCCCTGTTTGAACCAGATTAACAGCCCCAATTAGGTAACTCATTCTATGAGGTCCACCTGGCTGACCTCATTACAATCACCACAGACAGCTTGCCACAAGCCCTGAGGAAGTTAGTAGTGGATTGGAAACAAGCACTTAGTGAGATTAATATAAGTAAAACATCCTTAATGAGGAAATTAAGGGAATTAGAGATTTGCAAATCCCCAGGCCCTGATGGTTTCTGTTCAAGTCAGTTAAAGGTAGTAGGGGAATACATTGTAGATAGCCTAACTATAATCTTTCAGAGTTCCTTAAATATAGTAGTTTCCCTCTGGATTGGAAAATTGCATGTGTCACTCCACTTTTTAAGAAGGCTGAGAGAGGAAAACCGGAGAACTAGACCAGCTAACAAAAAAATCTATCCTCTGATGCTGCCTGGCCTGCTGTGTTTCTCCAGCTCCACACTGTTATCTCTGACTCCAGAATCTGCAGTTCTTATTGTCTCCATATAAGAGACTGTTAACTAAGATTGAAGCTCATGGAACTAAGGGGAAATTATCAATATGGCTGGGAAATTGGTTGAGTGGCGGATGACTGGAAGTAGGATAATAGGTAAGTACTCAAATTGGCAAGATATGACTAGTGATATCCCACAAGGATCTGTGATAGGGCCTCAATTATTCACATTAATTATTAACGACTTGGATAATGGCAGAAGAAGGCATATTCCAAATTTGCAGATGATGCAAAATTAAGTAGACGGTGTAGATAACACAAAATTACAAAGGAATATTGACAGAAGGAAAGATCAGGGTACTTCCTATACAGTATGAAGTTAAATATAGTGGATTTCCAAAGAAACTTGGGGATCAGGTGCAGAGATTTTGAAAATGCCATGAACAGATGCAAAAAATAACCAAGAAGGCTAATGGAATTCTGGCTTTTATATCTAGAATAGAATAGAATCCCTATAGTGGGGAAACAGGCCCTTCGGCCCAACAAGTCCACACCAGCCCTTGGAGCATCCCACCCAGACCCATCCCCCATACCCACCTAAACTACACATCCCTGAATACTACGGGCAATTTAGCACAGCCAATCCACCTAACCTGCACATCTTTAGACTGTGGGAGGAAACCAGAGTACCCAGAGGAAACCCACGCAACACTGGGAGAATGTGCAAACTCCATACAGACAGTCGTCTGAGGGTGGAATTGAACCCGGGTCCCTGGCGCTGTGAGGCAGCAGTGCTAACCAGTGATCCACTGTGCCTGAAATGCAAGGATGCAGAAATTATGCTGCAGGCCCTGGTTCAGCCCCACTTGAAGGACTGTGAGCAGATGTGGGCACACATTAGAAGGATATATTGGTGTTGGATGGAGTACAGCTTAGGTTTACAAAAATGATATCTGGACTTCATTGGTTATGTATTGAGGAGAGATTATACAAATATTAAGCCTGTTTTTGCGAGAATTTAGAAGGTTGTTCGAAGCCTTCAGATATTAATAGGAAAAGAAACATTAAATAAAGATAAATTATTTCCATTGGTTGATTTTAGAACTGAGGGCATAGGCTCAGAATAAGGGCGAGACTGTTCAGAAGGGACATCAGGGAGCACTTCTACATGCAGAGGTTGGTAGAGGTTTTCGAACTCTCTTCCACAGTTGATACTTGATCAGTTGTTACTATCATATCTGAGATTTTTTTTAACAAAGCAAAGGTATTAAGGGATATGGGACAAAAGCAGTTATATGGAATTAGGCCACAGGTCACTCATGATCTCCTGAAATGGCAGAACGGGCTGAATGGTCTACTGTTCCTATGTTCCTCAAACAGTTCTTGACTGTGCTTTCTCTTCATTCAGTCTGTCTCAAATTCAAACTACTAGACTACCATCAAAAGAGAGAATAAAAAAATTTCTTTAAGAATAGACTGACTAACTGACCTACATGTTCAGCTGCTCAGAGAGATCCAATGTACATTTGTAAAGTCTAGGTATTCCCTGAGAGAAATTTTTGAAGAGGTGTCTGAAGTTGTGGACAGGGGAAATGTGTATGGATGTTATTTCTGTGGACTTAGAGATAGCATTGTGGATAAAATGCCTCAAAAGAGGCTTTTGTCTCAAAAGTAAGCTCATGGAGTTGAAGTAGAATTTTTGACCAGTTTGGGAAATTGAACAGAAAGAGACAGAGGAGAGAATGGACAGCTCTTCAAGTTGGCAGGATCTGACTCATAGTTTCCCACAAGGATTTCTGTTGGGACCTCAACTCTTCAAGAAACTTACCAATAATGTGGATGATGGAAGCATAAGCCATACATCCAAGTTGAAGAGCATATGAAGATGACATTAATCAATGTGAATAGAAGCATAAAATTTAAAATATTGACAAATAAAGTAAATAGAGAATAACTGGCAAAATGTATTTCAGTACAGGCAAATATGAGGTCATCCAGGATAGAACACAGCGCTGTCTAAATTGTGACAAGCTTTCAAAATGGGAAAGGTCTAACAAGAGAATTGGGGATAGTGGATCAGTAATCCAGATGCTCAGGCTAATGCGTAGGGGACTTGGGTTCAAATCTCACTCATGATGGAAGTTCAATGCAATTCATGAATGAAATCTGGTATTGAAAGCCAGCCTCGGTCATAATGACCATGAAGGTGGAATCCATTATCATAATAACTCATCCAGTTCACTCAAGTCCTTCAGGGAAGGAAATTTGCCATTCTTACGTGGTCTGGCCTACATGTGACACCAGTCCCAAAGCAATATGGTCAACTCTTCACTTCCCTTTGAAATATCCCAGGAAACCACTCAATTCGGGTGGAATTAGAGATGCCCAACAGATACTGGTCTTGCTAGCAGTGCCCACCATCCATGTAATCTCTCACAAACAGGCGCATAAATAACAAGACAAAAATAGAATGCCAACGTTTAAACCTATAGGATTAGAATACAAGAGGAATAAAGTTCATGATCTAGCTCTACAAAACTCTGGATGACCCACTCCAGGAATTACTGAAATCCGTATTGGGCACCATGCTTTAGGAAGTTGATATTGTTCTTGGAAGAGAGTACAATGTAGATCTAATAGTGATTTCTAAACACTGAAGATTAAATGCTGATATGAGTTAACAAAGGTAACTTCCATGGAGTTAGGGGTGATTTGATCTCCATTTCCAAGTTATTAAAGAGAGAGGTTTTGTCTGTTTGAGTTCTGCTGGTTGGGAGTCAAAGGCTAGGGGCAGAGGCCAAAAATAGCAGCAAACTCTTTCAGAGCTGAAATTAGGAAACCTCTGCACAAAAAGAGTGGTGAAGGTTTGGAACCCTCTCCAGCAGTTAGAATGACAAGTTGGGCGTCAGTTTAAAATTTACACAGGAACTAGATTATGTATTTAATAGTCCAACCTTTTCCTGAGTATCTTTTCCCAAACTGCAGCAGAACCCCTTGAATTATCTGGTTTAAATGAATATTTTGAGGGTTCCAGGTACAGGATAACTAGGCATTGGAATCTTCAATTTAATGGGCAATTCCCTTTGGAGTTTGCTGCATGGGGGATCCACTTCACGTATTCGTGTTCCCATGTTTGCATGCACAGGCAGAAGGTAGAGTGTGGAAGGCTAGCTAGGAGTGTTAAAAATATTGCTGTCTAAAAGTAAAGGCTTAAATGAGATTTGAGCAGCTGATAAACTGATGAAAACTAGCAATATTGTGGAAAGAAGCAATCTGAATGAATGCACAACCATGTGGTTTAAAGTCTTTATGGTGCTAAAACATGGCCACTTAGCCCATGGAGAACCCAGTCAGAAACAAAAACAGAAGTTGCTGGTAAAGCTCAGCAGGTCTGGCAGCATCTGTACAGAGAAATCGGAGTTAACGTTTCGCCTATCAGTTCTGAGGAAAGGTCACCAGATTCAATGTTAACTCTGATTTCTCTTCACAGCTGCAGCCAGACCTGCTGAGCCTTACCAGCAATTTTTTTGTTTTGCTTCTGATTTACAGCATCCGCAGTTCTTTTGGCTTTTATTGAGAACCCAGTCAGCTCCATTCCTTCACACTGTCGCTGCAAGTTCTTCATCTTTGTGTCTATCCAACTTCCTTTTGAAGCCATTGATCGTCTCTGCTTCCACTGTCTTCATGGGCAGCGAGCTCCAGCTCAGTGGCACGCATTAGATTCAGAAAGGTCCTCCTCACCTTTTCCCATAATTTCACATCTTGTTCATGTACCGTCAGCTGGTGAACAGTTTCTTTGTCTTCCTGACCCAATCTTATACACCTCAATCAAATCTTTCTCAACTTCCTATGTTCTAAGAATAACTGCCACTTTTCTAACCCAACTTTTTAACTAAAATTCCCTCATCCCTAGAATCATTCTGATCAATTTCCTCTGCACCATCTTTGAGAATCTTCAAATCTGGCTTAGGAACACTTTAAATGTGACTATTATACTCCAGTTGGGGCCTGACTGAAAGGTCTTTAAGGCATAATTTCCCTGCTTTTATAATCAGACCTTTAATAATGCCCAAGATCCCATATTCTTTATTAACTAGTCTCTGTGTTTCCTCCCACCGTCGAGGATTGATGCACATGCATATCCAGGTGCCTGTACAGCTGCACATTCCTTAAAACTGTGCTTTTAAGGCTATATCACTTCTCTCTACATCTCTTTGCCAAAATACATTACCTCATATTTGCATATTACGTTCCATTTGCTGCTTGTCCACCTGTCCTGTTGCCCTGTCTGTGCCAAGTTACAAACTGTGATCCTCCTCACTCAGTACTTACTTCAGTCTGAAAATGATTGTTTACCACTACTTGCTGCTTTCTGTCCTTGAGCCAGTCATTTTTATCCAAGCTGACTCTGGTCCTTCTCTTGTTAAAAGCCAGAGTTTTGTTGGCTAACATTATATGTTGTACCTCGTTAAGTGCAGTCATAAAATTTATATAAACAATATCCACTACTGCTTAGTAATCCAGACCCTTCTGAGCAGAGACATATTATTGTATATTTCACTCATCAGATGCATGAGTGTTCAAATTCGAAGGAAGCAATAATTGATAATGATAAAAGGATGCTGATTGGTTGGCCAGTTGATTCTGATTGAGGCCAAGCAATCAGCACCCTTTTCTCATGAGTATCAATTGTTCCTTTTAAAATGTGGTATTCTTGCATGGTATCCCGATGAGTGTAAGACAAAACATTTCAATAACGTGTCACTTTTTCAGCAATTCATTGCATTACCTTCATCAATCTTCTCGGTTATTTCATCAGGAAATCATTTAATTAGCCCTGGGGAAAAATTGATGCACAGAGAGATCTGGATGTTCAGGTCCATTGTACCCTGAAGGTGGCAACGCAGGTCGATAGAGTGGTCAAGAAGGCATACGGCATGCTTTCGTTCATCGGACAGGGTATTGAATACAAGAGTTGGCAGGTCATGTTGCAGTTGTATAGGACTTTGGTTTGACCACATTTGGAATACTGCGTACAGTTCTGATCGCCACATTACCAAAAGGATGTGGATGCTTTGGAGAGGGTGCAGAGGAGGTTCACCAGGATGTTGCCTGGTATGGAGGGCGCTAGCTATGAAGAGAGGTTGAGTAGATTAGGATAATTTACATTAGAAAGACGGAGGTTGAGGGGGGACCTGATTGAGGTCTACAAAATCATGAGAGGTATAGACAGGGTGGATAGCAAGAAGCTTTTTCCCCCCAGAGTGGGGGACTCAATTACTAGGGGTCACAATTTCAAGGTGAGAGGGGAAAAGTTTAAGGGAGATGCGCGTGGAAAGTTCTTTACGCAGAGGGTGGTGGGTACCTGGAACGCGTTGCCAACGGAGGTGGTAGAGGCGGGCACGATAGCGTCATTTAAGATGTATCTAGACAGATACATGAATGGGCAGGGAGCAGAGGGATACAAATCCTTGGAAAATAGGCAACAGGTTTAGATAGAGGATCTGGATCGGTGCAGGCTTGGAGGGCCGAAAGGCCTGTTCCTGTGCTGTAATTTTCTTTGTTCTTTGTTCTGATTAGTTAAATATGATCTGTCTTTTACCAAACCCAGGTTGGGTCTCCCTGAGTCAAACGTTTCAAGGTACTTGTTGATTTTTTTTTTTTTTTTTGTCCCTCCAATTTTTGTTTCTGGAATTTCGTCCACCCTGATGTGAAACTGACTAGCCTATGTTACTAGCAATGTTCTTACACCTTTCATTGACTAACAGTCTCATATTTGCCACTGTCCAATCCTCTGATACCCCTCCTGTATCCAGGGTAGATTAAGACAAGCCCTTTCCTCTATCTCCACCCCAGTTCCTTTAGAAGCCTGGGATACGAACTCTCCAGGTGATGCAACTTGCGCACTGCATCCACAAGCAGAGCCCATCTTTCCTGCCTGCTGGTTTTCATCTTGTCCACTACCTGTACCATCTCTGCTTTTACTGAGATTTTTGTGAGCATTCTGTTCTTTAGTAAACACTGATACACGGTACTCAATAGGTCTTAATTATTACTCATTAGCTTTGTCCTATGCCTCTAAACGTATATCACCTACTTTATTCCTGATATGACTCTTACCTCTTACCCATATTATTTGCATGCTGATAGATGGTTTTTGGGTACTCTAATATTAAGTGCAATTTTATAGTCCCATTCTCTTTTTGCTGGTTTTATTTTCCTCCTCTTCTCTCAACTTTAATGTATCAGGTCTGGTTTTTACTTGAAAAATTTACGTGAAATGCATCAAATTCACTCTCTTTAAAGTTGTACCAACCCCCTCCTTGTCTCCAAACACCTCAATCCTCTCAATTTTCCCCTTCACTCTTCCTTCCCTCCCTATCCCTTGTCTCCCCTCTCCTTATCACCAGTCTCTGTTTCACTCCTCCCTCCTCTTTATTGCCTTGTCCTTGCTCCCTTTTGTACCATTTGATTTTTAACTGGTGTCTTATTTCCTGCTCTTCAGGGTGTTCCTCACTCCCAGCTTCCACAGCAGTATCAGAAACTCCTGGAGAAACTGAATAAAGTTGAACAGGAGATTGCAGGAGGAACAACTGCCATTGTGGCCCTCATTCTCAACAACAAACTCTACATTGCCAATATAGGTACGGCTTCACTGTTCATCCTCCAGCACTGCTGCAGGGTCCCACTTCCCTAACTAGCCCCTGCTTAGAATTTTCAGTATTTCAGATCCTCCTCCCCATACTCATTTAAACATTGTGCGGCTCCTGACATCACAGTACAAGAAGGCGGGAGCTCTGCCTTCTATCAGACAGGTTCGTTGAGACTGTAGCCAGGGCAGGGAGTGTCTCTTATAGGGTGGAGCCCACCTTGTTTGATGTGGGTCTCCTGTGCCATTGTGTTGCTCAGCTCATGATTGGGATACAATGTTGAGCTGTGTAAGAGTCTTGCTTCATATCCAGTGTGGCTTCAGACTGTGGCAATGTATGAGGCAGCTGCATACTGCACCATTTCTCAATTACATTCCTTACTGGTGTCAGCCAACCTGCCACCTACTGTTTCAGTTATCGCCTCCCTCAAGCCTCTGCTGGGAGGGTCCCCTGTCATGTGTGTCTGTCTCTTGTACTTGTTCTCTCTTGCTTTCCCTCGTGCCAGGCCTTCCCCACCTTCCCCGCCCCCCCCCCTCTTCCACCCCCCTCCGTTCCCCCTTCCCTCACTGTAAAGTGATATGTTATGACTGGTTCTCTGTTGCTGTTGGCAGGCACCAACCGAGCATTACTGTGTAAATCTACTGCAGATGGACAACTTCAGGTGACTCAAGTTAGCGTTGATCACACAACAGACAATGAGGATGAGCTGTTCCGACTGTCGCAGCTCGGTGAGTTAGCACACCTCCTCACAGGAAATTGAATGACTGTGCGTGGCTCAAATCCAGGGACAGGGGCTGCAGTGACTGGTGGTTCTGCCCAGTGGTCTCCTCAACACTGGTGTCCAGGCAGGTGCATCTGCACATTTCCTTTATACACCTGCTTGCTGTTTGCTACAGTTTGAGCAGCCAAGAATTCTCTTCCCAATTCTCCAGTTGACTCCAGGAAGTCCTCACTCTGTCTTTCCAAGCCACTCCCCCTCTCGGTCCACCCCCTCTTGTCTCCTCTCAGGGAAGACAGCCTGTGTGAGGTGGTGAAGGTAAGAGTGAATGGGGGTTAGTCAGGCATAGGGAAGGTGGTAAGGGAGCGTGGGGGTGGGCAGGCCAAGGGGGCATGGGTGGGGGAGTCACAGGCCAAGAGGGAGTTGGGGGGGATGCGTGCCAAGGCGGGGTTTGGTGGGGGGGTGGGAAGCAAGAGGGAGAGGGGGTTGGGAGTGAGAGGGAGAGGGGGTTGGGAGTGAGAGGGAGAGGAGGTTGGATGGGGGAAGAGTGAAAGGGAAGCAGGGAAATTGTTGGGAGAGACGGGGAGGGGAGACGGAGGGAGGACCAGAGTTGTGGAGAGTGACGGGGGTGGAGAGGGATTGGGGGATGTGGTGAAGAGAACGAGAGATGGGGGTGAAGTCGGGGGGGGGGGGAGGGGGGGAGGGAGAGTTTGGGTGTAACAGGAGTGTGCGACTTGGGGGAGCAGAGAGACAGAGAGAGGGGATTTGGGGGCAGAGTGAGGGGGTAGACGAGGTGGGAGATCGGGGAGAGGAAGTTGGGGGGGAAAGATGGAGTGAGGACTTCCTGGAGTCAAGTGGAGAATCGGAATGAGAGCCGGGGGAGACGGGAGAGGGAGTTGGGGGTGGAGAACACACGAGGTTGAGCGGGTGACCTGATAGAAGTTTATAAAATTGTGAATATAAAATTGAAATAAAATAGAATGGCGTGGATAGAGTGGAAAGTATGAGGGGTCAATTACTAGGGGACGCAGGCTCAAAGTGCGAGGGGGGGGGAGGTTGGAAAGAGATGTGCGAGGATGTTTTTCACACAAAAGCTGGTGAGTGCCTGGAATGTGCTGCCGGAGGAGGTGGTGGAAGCAGACACAGTAGCAGCGTTGAAGAAGCACCTGGAGGAATAAGTGAATGGGAAGGGAATAGAGTGATATGGATCCTGTAAGTGAGGACAGTTTTAGTATGGAAGGGCAAAATGTGTTGTTGCATGGGTTGGAGGGCCAAAGGGCCTATTCCTGTGCTGTATTGTTCTTCTTTTTATCTCCAGAGGCAGAGAGTTCCAATCTGGACAGAGTAGATAGGGAGCAACTGTTTCACTAGGGCTGAAGGGTCGAGACCCAGAGGACACTGATTGCAGGAGATTGGCAAAAGTAGTAGCAAAGGCATGAAGTGGATAGGATCTGGAGATCTGGGCCCGAGAGAGTGTCTCAATTGTGAGGCAACTTCAGTGATGGCTTTTCAAAAGGATATTGGATGAAAAAACTGGAGAAAATAATTGCACGTCTACAGAGCAAAGGCAGGAGAGTGAGGTGAGGTGAGTTGCTCTTGCAAAAAGCCATCACGGATAAGATGGACCAAAGCAAGTTTATATTCTCCCACAAAATGTCCATCTACAAAATGTCTTTCTGTGCACTTAACATATCTGTGTCCTTTTGTATCCTTTCCACAACTTACTTTCCTACATTTCTTAGTGTCATAGGCAAATCTTAGCAACCGTACCTTCTGTCCATTCATTCATGTCACTGATATAGATTGTAAATAATTCAGGAGCTGAGCCAAACTCGTCCTCACCCTCAACAACTTGTCTTTCAATTCCTCCCACTTCCTACAGACAAAGGGGATGGCTATGGGTACCCGCATGGGCCCAAGCTATGCCTGCCTCTTTGTAGGTTACGTGGAACAATCCCTCTTTCGTAGCTACACTGGCCCTAAACCCCACCTCTTCCTCCGTTACATTGATGACTGTATCGGCGGCGCCTCGTGCTCCCACGAGGAGCTCGAACAGTTCATCCACTTCACCAACACCTTCCAACCCAACCTTAAGTTCACCTGGACTATCTCTAATACCTCTCCCTCCTTCCTGGACCGCTCTGTTTCCATCTCTGGCAACCACCTAGAAACCGATATCCATTTCAAGTCCACCGACTCCCACAGCTACCTAGAATACACCTCCTCCCACCCACCTTGCTGCAAAAATGCCATCCCCTATTCCCAATTCCTTCGCCTCCGCCGCATCTGCTCCCAGGATGAGGCATTCCACTCCCGTACATCTCAGATGTCCTCGTTTTTCAAGGACCGCAACTTCCCCCCCTCAGTGGTCGAGAACCACCCCACCAACCTCCGGATCCAACGCATCATCCTCCGACACTTCCGCCATCTGCAATCCGACCCCACCACTAAAGGCATTTTTCCCTCCCCACCCTTATCTGCTTTCCGGAGGGACCACTCTCTCCGTGACTCCCTTGTCCGCTCCACACTCCCCTCCAGCCCCACCACACCCGGCACTTTTCCCTGCAACCGCAGGAAGTGCTACACCTGCCCCTACACCTCCCCCCTCACCCCCATCCCAGAAGACTTTCCACATCAAGCAGATGTACACCTGCACATCTGCTAATGTGGTATACTGCATCCTCTGTTCCCGTTGTGGCCTCCTCTACATCGGAGAAACCAAGCGGAGGCTTGGGGACCGCTTTGCAGAACACCTATGCTCGGTTCACACTAAACAACTGCACCTCCCAGTCGCAAACCATTTCAACTCCCCCTCCCATTCCTCAGACGACATGTCCATCCTGGGCCTCCTGCAGTGCCACAACAATGCCACCTGAAGGTCGCAGGAACAGCAACTCATATTCCGCTTGGGAACCTTGCAGCCCAATGGTATCAACGTGGACTTCACAAGCTTCAAAATCTCCCCTCCCCCTACCGCATCCCAAAACCAGCCCAGCTCGTCCCCGCCTCCCTAACCTGTCCTTCCTCCCACCCCCATCTCCTACCTACTAACCTCATCCCACCCCCTTGACCTGTCCGTCCTCCCTGGACTGACCTATCTCCTCCCTACCTCACCACCTACACTCACCTTTACTGGCTCCATCCCCGCCTCTTTGACCTGTCTGTTTCCTCTCCACCTATCTTCTCCTCTATCCATCTTCTATCTGCCGCCCCCTCTCTCCCTATTTATTTCAGAACCCCCTTCCCCTCCCCCATTTCTGAAGAAGGGTCTCAGCCCGAAACGTCAGCCTTCCTGCTCCTCTGATGCTGCTTGGCCTGCTGTGTTCATCCAGCTCTACACCTTATTATCTTGGAATCAAACCCAGTTCACTGGTGCTGTGAGGCAGCCATGCGAACCACTGAGTCACCGTGTCACAATGTGACAGGTTGGTTGTATGGTTAGCGTTCACATTAACAGTTTCAGTTGAGTTACTGTCTCAAGATAAAATAAGACAATACAGTATATTTACAACATGAGAAACCTTTAAGCATACCTGTAATTTCAGCCTTATCTCCTCTCATCCACCATAGCATATAAATTCCCTGTTATCAGTTGTTAATTTTTTTACACTCATTTATGGCTTGTGATTGTTGCTGGTTGGCCAGCATTTATTGCTTGTCCCTAGTTGCCCTTGAGAAGTTGGTGTTGAGCTGCCTTCATGATCCGCTGCAGTCCACCTGCTGTGGGTTGACCCACAATACCAGTAGTGAGAGAATTCCAGTGACCCAGTGATGGTGAAGGAACGGTGATATATTTCCAAATCAGGATGGTGAGTGGCTTGGAGGGGATCTTGAAGATGGGGCGCTCCCACATATCTGTTGTCCTTCCCCTTCTGGATGGAAGTGGTAATGAGTTTGGAAGGTGCTGTCTGAGGATCTTTGGTGACTTTCTGCAGTGCATCTTGTAGATGGTATACACTGCTGCTACTGAGCATTGGTGGTGGTGGGAATGGATGCTTGTGGATAGAGTACCAATCAAGCAGGCTGCTTTGTCCTGGATGGTGTCAGGCTTCTTGAGTATTGTTGGGGCTGCACTCATCCAGGCAAGTAGGGAGCAATCCATCACACTCCTGACTTATGCCTTATATATGATGGAGGAGTGTTGGGGAGTCAGGAGGTGAGTTACTTGCCACAGTATTCCTAGCTTCTGACGTGCTGTTGTAGCCACTGTTTATGTGATCAGCCCAGTTGAGTTTCTAGTCAATGATAACCCCCAGGATGATGTTAATGGGTGATTCAATGATTGTAACACCATTGAATGTCAAGGGGCAGTAGTTAGATCGTCTCTTATTAGTGATGGTCATAGCCTGGCGTTTGTGTGGTGTGAATGTTACTTGCCACTTGTCAGCCCAAGCCTGGATATTGTCCAGATCTTGTTGCATTTGAAAATGGACTGCTTCAGTACCTGAGGAGTCACAAATGGTGCTGAACATTGTGCAATCACGGCAAACATCCCCACTTCTGACCTTATGAGGGAGGGAAGGTCGTTGATGAAGCAGCTAAAGATGGTTGGGCCTACCTTGAATACTACCCTGAGGAGCTCCTGCAGAGATGTCCTGGAGCTGAGATGATTGACCTCCAACAACCACGGCCATCTTCCTGTGTGTCAGGTATGACTCCAATCACCAGAAAGTTTGTCCCTGCTACCCATTGATTCCAGTTTTGCTAGGGCTCTGTGATGCCACACTCAGTCGAATGCAGCCTTGATATCAAGGACTGTCGCTCTCACCTCACCCCTGAAATTCAGCTCTTTTGTCCATGTTTGAGCCAAGGCTGTAATGGGGTCAGGAGCTGAGTGACCCTGGTGGAACCCAAACTGGGCGTCACTGAGCAGGTGCTGCTTGATAGCGCTGTTACTGACACCTTCCATCGCTTTACTGATGATCGTGAGTAGACTGATGGGGTGCTAATTGGCCAGGTTGGATTTGTCCTTTTTTTGTATACAGGACACACATGGACAATTTTCCACGTTGTTGGGTAGATGCCAGTGCTGTAACTGTACTGGAAGAGCTTGGTGAAGGGGACAGCAAGTTCTGGAGCACAAGTCTAAAGTTCTGTTGTCGGAATATCATCGGGGTCCATAGCTTTTGCAGTATCCAGTATTTCTAACCATTTCTTGATATCGTGTGGAGCGAATTGAATTGGCTGAAGACTGGTATCTGTAATGCTGGGGACCACTGGAGGAGGCCGAGATGGATCGTCCACTCGGCACTTCTGGCTGAAGATTGCTGTGAATGCTTCAGCCTTATCTTTTGCACTGATGTGCTGGGCTCTTCCATCATTGAGGATGGGGATATTTGTGGAGCCTCCTCCTCCAGTGAGTTGTTTAATTGTCCACCACCATCAATGACTGGACGTGACAGGACTGCAGAGTTTTCATTGTGGGATTGCTTAGCTCTGTCTATCACTTGCTGCTTATGCTGCTTGGAATGTAAATAGTCCCGTTTGGTGGCTTCACTAGGTTTACACCTCAGCTTCAGGTAGCCTGGTGCTGCTCCTGGCATGCCCTCCTGCACTCTTCATTGAACCAGGGTTGATTCCCTGGCTTGATGGTAATGGTTGAGTGGGGAATATGCTGGGTCATGAGGTTACAGGACGCTGTCTCCACTAGGACTATGTGGTGGTCGCTCTTATTGATACTGTCGTGGATGAAGCTGGCAGGTTGGTAAGGATGAGGTTGAGTATGTTTTTCCCTCACCACCTGCCACAGACCCAGTCTAGCAGCTATGTCCTTTCGGACCTGACCAGCTCGATCAGTAGTACTGCTGCTGAGCCACTCTTGGTGGTGGACACTGAAAACCCCCATCCAGAGTACATTTTGTGCCCTTGCCGTCCTCAGTGCTTCATCTAAGCGTTGTTTGACACGAAGGAGTACTGATTCATCAGCTGAGGGAGGACGGTATGTGGTAATCAGCAGGAGGTTTCCTTGCCTATGTTTAACCTAAAGCCACGAGACTTCGTGGGATCCAGGGCCAATGTTGAGGACTCCCAGGACAACTCCCTCATGAGTGTATACACTGTACCGCCACCTCTGCCAGGTCTGTCCTGCCGTTGGAACAGGACATATCCAGGGATGGTGATGATGGTGTCTGGGACATTGTCTGTAAGGTATGATTCTGTGAGTATGACTATGTCAGGCTGTTCCGTGACTAGTCTGTGAGACAGCCCTCCCAATTTTGGCACTAGATGTCAGTAAGGAGGACTTTGCAGAGTCAACAGGGCTGTCTCTACCTTTGTCTTTTCTGATGTCTAGGTCGTGCCAGCTGATCAATCCAGTTTCCTTTTTTTTTGAGATTTTGTAGCAATTGGTACAACTGAATGGCTTGCTAGGCTATTTCAGAGGGCACTTGAGAGTCAACCACATTGCAGTGGGTCGGGATTTCATATAGGCTTGATCAGGTGAGGATGGCAGATTTCCTTCCCTGAAGGACATTCATGAACCGGATGGGTTTTTCTGATAATCAACAATGATTTCCTTGTCATCAACAGTGCTGAAGTAAATCTGACTGTCTCGAGTAGCAGTACTGTTAACTAACTGGCCACCCACAGAAGAGTGGAATTCATAATGTGATTAGACACTTGGTCAGTTGATTTCCATCTCTAAACCTATCTTCTATTACAAGATGCATATTTATATCAATATATGGAGAAAACAATTAAATGTAATTTATATATGCATGAGAAAAGACAATTTTGTAAACTGTTTCCGTTCACTGTTCTCAGCATCAGCAGTGGGGAAGGGAAGGTCTAAACTGCCTTCTGTTCTTGGAGGAGCAAGAAAGAACAGTTGGCTGGGGAGATGGAGAGTGCACATTTGGGGTTGTAGTGGCTAGACAGTGTATGGTTAAAGGGAGGGACAGTATGTAAACCCTGCTCCCCGTGCTGTGTCTCACTGCCTGGTGTGTGGACCCTGCCCCAGTGCTGGAACACTTGTTGGATCATGTCTGACACCAACCCAGTGTTGTGGGAATCGCCAGACATAGAAACACAGGAAATAGTATCAGAAGAGGACTATTCTTCCCGTCAAGCCTGTTCTGCCATTCAGTCTGGTCATCCTACTGAGTACCCTATTCCTGCGTTCTCCTCCTACCCTTTGATCCCTTCAGCCTTAAGAACTATACCTAACTCCACCTTTTGGCCCCAACTGTTTTCTTTTGGCAGAGAATTCCACAGACTCACCACTCTCTGGGTGAAGAAATTTCTCCTCATCTCAGTTGTAAATGGCCTAACCCATTTCCTTAAACTGTGGCCCCTAGTTTTGGATTCTCTTGTCATCAGCCCATCGAGTCTGCACCAACCCTCCAAAGACATCTCACGCAGCCCCATCCTATCCCCTTAACCCCACATTTCCCATGCTTGATCCACCTAGCCTGCACGTCCCTGGGCACTATGGACCATTTAGAATGGCAAGTGCACCTAACCTGCACATCTTTGGACTGTGGGAGGTAACCGAAGCATCTGGAAGAAACCCACACAGACACGGGGAGAATGCGCAAACTTCGTGCAGGCAGTCGCCCAAGGCTGGAATCAAATCTGGGTCGCTGTTGCTGAGAGGCAGTAATGCTAACCACCATACCACTGTACTGCCCCTTTTAATTCACTGATTTCTGTCTCACTTGTAGGTTTGGACACAGCAAAAATAAAACAATTTGGGCTGATTGGAGGTCACGACAGCAGTCGCAGGATTGGAGATTACAGAATGAAATACTGTTACAATGATGTGGATACGCTGAGGTAAGGAAGCCTTATTTTAGAAAAGTCTTTGGTTTGTTAAATCATTCAAGTATTGTGCAGACTCGACATTTTAAAGCTCAGCCTGCCCCTTCCAGAAGCATTAGCTCATTCCTGACCTTTGCTCCTGTTTCCTGGCTTAATTCACTGTGCTCTCTGGCCTACACTGACTGTAAAGCATAAAAACAAGTTTTAGAGAGTGAATTCCTGAATGTATGACCCAGGCAGCTGAACACTTAGTCAGTTCTGGCAGGATATAAACTGGGATGTGCGTGAAGCCCTGGACTGATGTAGGAATCTGGACAAGCAGCCACCTAGGAAGTATTTTTAATCAACCTGTTCAGTCTGGGACAGGTGGGACTTGTACCCAGACCTTCTAGCCCAGAGGTAGGGACACTATCACAGCACCACACTGCTCTCAGAATTCTACCTTACAACCAATGTCCCAGACTATTCCCATTATTGTGTCTCTCTTTAATTTGTTCATGTGACATAAGTGTCACTGTGTTAATTTTGCTCAATGTCCTCACCATTGACTCCAAACCACATGAAATCCCAGCACTGATCCTGGTGGCACACCATCATTGCTTCTTGCCAACCTATAAAAGACCCTTTTATGCCTACTATGACATCCTATTAGCCATCCATTCTTCTATCCATGCCAATGTGCTACCCCTACACCATGACCTTTTAATTTTCCACAATAACCTTTGCGGTATCTTATCAAATACTATCCGGAAATCTCAGTACGATACATCCATCAGTTCCCCATAGCATGTGTCACTTCCTCAAAGAACTCCAAAAGCTTGGTCAAAAAGTTTCCCTTTCACAAAACCAGTTAACTCTGCCTGATTATCTTGATCGTATCCATGTTTCCTACCATAACGTCTTTAATAGTAGATTCTACCATCTTACTAATGATAGATGCTAAGCTAACTGGCCTGGAGTTTCCTTCTTTCTATTTCCATCCCTTTTGAACAGAGTAGTTACATTTGCCATTTTATAATCTAATAGGACCATCCCTGAATCAAGAGTTTTGAAAGCTTAAAAACAATGGATCTACTGTTTCAATAGTCACTTTTAAGACCCCTAAGGTGAAGCTCATCAGGGCCCAGACATTTGTCAGGTGGCAGCTCCAACAATTTATTCAGTACCACTTCTCTGATTTTCCTGAGTTCCTTACTCCCTTCCATTTCCTGATGTATTCTCCTCCTGGGATATTGCTTATCTTCTGTAGTGAAGGCTGAGGCCTAATACCTGTTCAATTTATCTGATAATTCCCTATTGATGTTGTCAATTCTCCAGTTTCAGTTTCTATAGGACCAGTGCTCGCTTTGTTAGCATTTTTATTTAAGTATTTGAAGAAACTTTTACTGTCTGTTTTTATATTTCTAGCTTGCTTTCTCTTGTACACTTATTTCTGTTTCTTATTTTTTGATTTTATTTTTGCTGCCTCTTACATTTTGTCCAATCATTTTGCCCTGCCACCTGTCTGTAAATGAAGAAACATAACGTATAGTTTGAGACGATTTTGAATATTTCTAGTTGACCATGGACGGTAGATCTTCCCCTTAGAATTTTTCTTTCTCATTGGAATGTATCTATTCCATGTATTCAGAAATATCCTGTCCTTTAACCTAATTTACCAATACACATTTGTCAGCTCTGCTTTCCTGCTTCATATTGCCTTTTTTAAATTTTAATATTAGTCTCAGACCCACTCCCCTCTTCGCCAAGCTCATTATAAATTTCAGTTGTTGTCTTCCCTGATGACAGAGCTAGTATTTGTTCAGTCACTTTGCCATTTCCTTGTTCTCCATTATTAATTCAGTAAGGGGCCTACATTGGCTTCCCACATCTTTTTCTTTCTGTATATACAATCTTACAGTCCACTTTAATGTGCCTAGCAAATTTATCCTCATTCTATTTTTCCCTTCTTAATCAGCATCTAGGTCCTCCTTAGCTAAGTTCTAAACTGCTGTTAGTCCTCAGGCCTGCTACTATACTACTGCGCATTAACGCCACCATCCCCTTCTTATTTCTTAGCTCCACCCACAAAGCCTCACTGGATGATCCCTCTGTTCTTTCATGTCTTACTACTGCTGTGACACTCCCCTTAATCAAAAGTGCAACTCCCCCTCCCCTCTTTCCTCCACTTCTGTCCCGCCTAGAGCACCTGTAACCTGGCACATCAAGTTGCCAGTCCTGTCCCTCCCTTAACCATGTTTATGTAATGGCTATAATATCCCAGCCCCACGTGCCTATCCACACCCTGAGTTCATCAGCCTTATCTGTCAGCCCTCTTGCATTGAAATAGATGCAATTTAATCCAACAGGCATTCCTCACTCCCTGTCCTGTTCCAGCCTGACCTGTCTCTTGAACTTGCTATTTCTGATTACTGTGTCATCTATGCATGTATTTATTACTCATCCCCCACTGCCCTCCAGTAGGAGGTAGTGAGCTGCCTTTTTGAACTACAGCAGTCCATGTAGTGTAGGTACACCCACAGGGCCATTAGGGAGGCAGTTCCAGGATTCTGACCCTGTGACAGTGAAGGAATGGCAATATATTTCCAAGTCAGGATGGTGAGTGGCTTGAAGAGGGACATTGCAGGGGTTGGTGTTCCCATGTATCTCCTGCCCTCGTACTTCCATGTGATAAAGGTAATGAGTTTGGATGGTGTCATCTAAGGAATTTCAGTGAATTTCTGCAGTGATAGTTGTAGATACTGCACAGTTTTGCTACTGAGAGTTGGTGCGGGATGGAGTGGATATTTGTGGATGTGTTGCCAAATAACCAGCTGCTTTGTACTGGATGGTGTCAAATTTCCTGAGTGTTGTTAGAACTGCACCCATCCAAGCAAACGGAGAGTATTCCATCACACTTCTGACTTGTGCCTTGTAGATAGTGGACAGGGTTTGCAGAGTCAGTTGATGGGTCACTTGCTGCAGGACCCCTAGTCTCTGACCTGCTCTTGTAGCATGTATTTGTATGACTGATCCAGTTCAGTTTCTAGTCAATGGTAACCTCCAGGAAAACCGTGTGGCGCTCAAAAATTATAATCTCAATGAAAGCTCAAGGTGGTGGTTAAAACCCTTTGTTGTAGATCATCATTGTGTGGCATGAATGTTACTTGCCACTTTTCAGCCTGGATATTGTCCAAGTCTTGCTGCATTTGGACAAAGACTGCTTCAGTATCTGAGGAGTCACGAATGGTGTTGTACATTGCGCAATCACCAATGAACATCCCCCTTTATGATGGAGGAAAGATCATTGATGAAGCAACCGAAGATGGTTGGGCCTAGGATACTAGGCTGAGGTACTCCTGCAGAGATGTCTTGGAGCTGAGATGACGGACCTTTAACAACCACAGCCATCTGCCTATGTGCCAGGTACGACTGCCCCCATCTCCAATTCCCATTGGCTCTAGTTTTTCTAGAGCTCCGTGAAGACTGGAGGGTAGCGGATGTTGTGCCTTTATTCAAGAAGGGCTGCAGAGAAACACTTGAGAATTATAGATCAGTAACCTTAACATCTTGATGAGATTCTGAAGGATAAGATATACATGCATTTAGAAGGACAGGGTTTGATTAGGAGTAGTCAGCATGGCTTTGTGTGTGGGAGATCGCGGCTCACAAATTTGTTATAATTCTTAGATGAAGTGACCAGGAAGTTGTTGAGGGCAGGGCAATAGACGTAGTCTCTTTGGATTTCAGTGAGGCCTTTGATAAGGTTCCACATGGTAGGCTGCTCAGGATGGTTAGATTGAATGGAATCCATTGAGAGTTGGCAAATTGGATACACAATTGGAATGATAGTAGGAAGTAGAAAGTAATAGTGGAAGGATGCTTGTTGGACTGGAGACCTGTGACTAGTGGTGTGCCTCAGGGGTTGGTGCTGGGCACATTGCTGTTCATTATCTATATCAACAATTTGTGTGAGAGTGTACAAGGCATGATTAGTAAGTTTACAGATGAAACTAAAATAGGCGGTATCGTGGACAGTGAGGAAGGTCATCAGAAATTGCAGCAGGATCTTGCTCAGCTAGGGAAGTGGGCTGAGAAATGGCAAATGGAGCTTAATGTAGATAATTGTGAAGTGTTTCATTTTGGAAAGTCAAATCAAGGTAGGAGTTTTATGGTGAATGGTAAGGCCTAAAGGAGTGTAATGGAACAGAGGGACCTCGGGGTTCAGGTGCACGGTTCTCTGAAAGTGGGGTCACAGCTGGACAGGGCAGTGAAGAAGGCTTTTGGCACACTGGCCTTCATCCTTCAGGGCACTGAATATAGAAGTTGGGAAGTTATGTTGCAATTATACAGGACGTTGGTGAGGCCACACTTGGAGTATTGTGTTCAGTTTTGGTCACCTTGCTATAGGAAGGATGTTATTAAACAGGAAAGAGTGCAGAAGAAATTTACAAGAATGTTGCCAGTACTCAGGGGACTGAGTTATAGGGAGAGGTTGGACAAGCTAGGACTCTTTAGAGTGTAAGAGACTGAGGGGGTATCTTATTGAAGTGTATAAGATCACGATAGGTGTGGATATGGTGAATGCACTCAGTCTTTGTCCCAGGGTTTGGGAATCGAGGACTAGAGGGCATCAGTTTAAAGTAAGAGGGGAAAGAATACATGGGAACCTGAGGGGCAACGTTTTTTACACAGAGGTTGGTACGCACATGGAATGAGCTGCCAGCGGACATGGTTGAGGCAGGTACATTTACAACATTTAAAAGGCATTTGAACAAATTCATGGATAGGAAAGGTTTAGAAGGATACTGCCCAAGTGCAGGGAAACGGAGTTAATATGGATGGGCATTTTGATCGGCATGGACCAGTTTGGGCTAAAAGGGCCTGTCTCCGTGCTGTATGACTCTATGATATTACATGGTTACTGATGTACCCAGCTGTGATTACAAATGTAGTAATCAGATTCTTCTTTCTGCTTGAAGTGCTGCCAAGACGAAGCCAGTCATTGCAGAGCCCGAGATACACGGAGGACAGTCCCTGGATGGATTGACAGGCTTTCTGGTCTTGATGACCGATGGATTGTATAAGGCTCTGGAGGCAGCTCATGGTCCAGGACAAGCCAATCAGGTGGAGTATGTGTGACTATATTATAGCTGAGAGTGCGGGAGCAGGTTACAGTTCGAATATAGAGGAGCTGAGTGTGGGAATGATTCACCAAGACCTTTTGATCACCACACAACGCTCAGCACTCCTGCTCACCATCCTCCCACTTCTCTCCACTCCTAGTCCGACCTGCACATAGTCCCCACCCAGCTCAACACACCCTTCTGCACTCAGCGCCTCTTCTTCCCCGCACCACTCGGCACCCCTTCTCCCCACCCCCATTCTCCCCACCCTATCTCCCCCAATAATCTCACTCAAACTCCACCTAGGCCCCACCTCACACTCATATTCACATTCCTAACCCCCCAAACTCTGGCTGCGCCCCACAACCTCACTCTGTGGCCCTGGCAATCACTATCGGGCTCCGCACATTGCTCTCTGGCCCCCACACCCTCCGTGTTCTGGTCCCATTCCCTCGTTCTCTGGCCTCGCCCTTTCACATTCTATTCTGCCACTTGTGCTCTGGCCCCGCCCCTCAGTCTCTGATCTGCTCCAACCTCTCTCTCCCTCTCTCTGACTTGCCCCTCCCCTTCCTTCCTCACCAAGTGGAGTGTTTTGCATCCTGTTTTACTGATAAGCTCCTGCTCTGGCCCTGTGCAGGAGATTGCTGCAATGGTGGCGACAGAGTTTGCCCTGCAGAGCTCATTGGACGCTGTGGCCCAGGCTGTGGTTGACCGTGTTCGACGGATACATCGTGACACTTTTGTCAGTAGAGGTGAAAGGTCAAAGTTCTGTGACAAACACGAGGACATGACCCTCCTGATACGAAACTTCAACTACCCTCTTGGGGAGATGAGCCAATCATCCATGAGCCCTGCACAAGGTAGGGAACACCATATTGACAGAGCAGCCCATATGAAACCACTAACTTTGTCTCTTGTCCTGATTCTGCGGGTTTAACAGAGCGAGAGGCAGAGGCCCTGAGTTTTGGGTTGGTTCTTTGCAGGACATACAGGATTACATCAATGAGCAAGAGCTAGAAAACGGATGAATCTCTGTTCTGTGAAACATGACCAAATTTATTTTCATAGATTGGACTTATACTTCTAGATGGGTGTTTGTGTCTCCACGGGAGCGGTAGAGGGTTGGGGTCAGACAGTTTTGGATGGGTGGGTAGTGCTGACATGTGTGAGAACAAGCTGAGTGCAGTCAAGGGTGTTTGTGTGTCCATTGATATTACTGTGTATTTATCTCAGTCTCTGAGTGGTTTGTCTTGCCTCTTCCCAGGGGGTCGAATCTATCCAGTCTCTGTTCCTTACACTAGCACACAGGGAACTCTGGGAAAAACCAGTGTCACACTCTCCCTAGTGATGCCATCGCAGAATCAGATGATGAATGGTAACCATAGCAGCTCGACGGGAGATGAGACAACACCCACACTCACCAACAGGTAAGTGCAGCCAGCAGAAGTTGCCACTGAGTAGGGGGGAAGGGGGTGCTTTTGGTGCCAATCGGTGGAGGATGGGGCATATCGTAGAAAATGGACACCATTTCCTTTTTGTAACTGAGTTGCTCACCTATTTCTGGTGTGTATTGGTCTAGCCCTTGTCCAGAGTATCTAGCACAACCTGCTCCACACTTTGTCTGGGGCATGTTGTGGTGACTGTTCAGCTGCATTTATTGGTACTGCAATCTAGGCTGCCCGAAGACCATCTCCTTCTTCAGAGTCCTCCCAGGCCTAACAGACTACCTGGGAGAACTAGGGTTACCTCTTGATGCATCCTCTTTGGGAGGTAAATGGCCACATGTAACTGCTCACCAGCTCACCCAGCAGTGGGTGAGGGGGCTTAGACAAATGAGATAGGGGTGATCTGGAGTAGGGGGAGTAGCAAAGGGAAGTGAGGAGATGTGGGGTGTTTAAGAGGGCATGAGGCAGTGAGGGTAGAAGGTCGGGGAGGGAATCAGTGGTTATGTCATAACATCATAAAAGAGAGGTCAGCGGAACTTTGTGTATAGTGGTAGATGAGAGGTTGCCCTGTATCTGTTCAGTGTCGGGAGCTACAATGTAAAGGTTCATGCCTTTCACACTTGGTGCTCCATACTTGAGGGTGGGGGCAGCTGGGGGCCAGTTCTCCATAACCAAAGGGAGGGGAATGTATCAGTGCTGGGCTGGGTGACCGTAAGTGGGCTGCCTAGTCCTGGATAGTGTCGAGCTGTTTCCATTTCATTATTGAACAAAAACATGTTTTGTTAAAGCTTTTCATTTTGCACACGTCAGGACGTGGCGGCACGGTGGCTCAGTGGTTAGCACTGCTGCCTCACAGCACCAGGGACCCAGGTTCGATTCTAGTCTGTGTGGAGTTTGCACATTCTCCCTGTGTCTGCGTGGGTTTCCTCCAGGTGCTCCGGTTTTCTCCCACAATCCAAAAAAAATGTGCAGGCTAGGTGGATTGGCCATGCTAAATTGCCCATAGTGTTCAGGGATGTGTAGATTAGGTGGATTATAGGGGTATGTGTCTGGGTGGGATGCTCCAAGGGTCGGTGTGGACTTGTTGGGCCGAAGGGCCTGTTTCCACACTAAGGAAAAAAAAATGGACACTTCACTAGAAATACCAGAGTAAAGGAGGGGGGGGAACATATATATTGAGAAGAGAGTGCAGATTGATTAGGAAAGTGGACTTGGTTTCAGTCTGGAGAATGCTTCAGTTAGATGATGATTGATCATTAACTGCTAGATTTTGTTTAAATTTTAAACCGAATTGATTGACTCTGGTCCTGGAATTGCCCTCAGAAATTAATCAGCAAATAGCTGTCAACTATTTTGTTGAGTTGAAACAGGCACTGTGCACATTCGTGTTCTTTCTGTCTGCAGAAACCAGGGCCCTATGTCACAAAATATGAAGCTTCCAGTACATGCAAGTGCCCCATACAGAGAGCCTGACTGACAATCGTAAATTAATAAACCACATTAGTCATTTGTATAATGGGTAGAACAACTTTTTGATATTTCTGTTTGTACCATCATCAAAAGAAACTTTGGCAGATTTGTCAAATACTATTTCCCATTCACAAATCCATGCAGACTATGCCCAGTCACATCATTATTTTCCAAGCCTTCCTTTATTTCATCCTTTATAATAGATTCATTCCTTATTTTCTCTTTATCTTTCCCTCCCTTTCTAAATAATGGGGTAACATTTACTACCTTGCAAAGTACAGGGACCGTTCCAGAAGCTACAATATTTTGGAATATGATGCATCCAGCATCTCCGTACTTTTATCTTTTAAAATTCTGAGATATAGAATAGCAGGTCTTGGTGATACACCAACCTTCAGTCCCATTCGTTTCTCTAATCTAACTCCTTAATAATGCTTATTTCCTTCAATTCCTCAATCTCCTTGGGAGGTTTATTATATCAAAGTTTTTGAGAAGATTTGTAGCTTGGGTTGTGGATGAGGTTGTAGACTTGCTCACCGAGCTGGTGTGTTTGATTGCAGACATTTCATCACCTTGCTAGGTAACATCGTCAGTGCACCTCTGGTGAAGCATTGGTGTTCTGTCCTGCTTGTTATTTATATGCCTCAGTTTGCTGGTGTGGTTGGCATCGCTTCCAGTTCTGTTTTTCAGTGGTTTGAACTGGACCCAATATACAATGTGTTTGTTGATGGAATTCTGGTTGGAATGCCAGGCCTCCAGGAATTCCCTGGCTTGTGCTAATGTGGATGTGTTGTTCCAGTCAAATGAGTGCTCAAAGCAGAACAGGAGCACTTAATAGAGTTTTTAAAAGGAATGGATATCCAAAAAGCCAATCTGTTGTTACCTCCTTGACAGACCACAGCAAGAAGACACAACACGGCTAGACACACCAGTCACCCTAGATGACCACAAGACTACTCAGACCCCTAGGTATCAGGGTAGCCCACAAACCAACAACCACCTTACAACAGGTACTGATGAACGTAAAGGATCCTATACCCGCCACCAACAAAACCAACGTAATACACAAAATACCATGCGAGGACTGTGAGAAACATTATGTGGGTGAAACTGGAAGAAAACTGACAAAAGGATACACGAACACTAACTAGCCACCAAGAGACATGACCAATTCTCACTGGTCTCAATACACACTGACAAAAAGAACACAAATTCGACTGGGACAACACATCCATAATAGCGCAAGCCAAATAGAGACATGCCAGGGAATTCCTGGAAGCCTGGCATTCCAACCGGAACTCCATTAGCAAACACACTAAACTGGACCTGATGTACAAACCACTGAAAAACCGAACCAAAATGATGCCAACCACCCCAGCAAACTGAGGCATTTCAATAACAAGGGGACAGAACACTAACGCCTCAGTAGGGGCGCACTGACGATGTTACCTAGCAGGGTGATGAAACGTCTGTAATCAAACACACCAGCTCGGTGAGCAAGTCTGAAACCTCAGGTTTCTTGTATCTTCCTCAGTAAAGACAAACACGAGGTGATAATTTGGTTTCTCTGCCATTTACCTATTCTCCATTATAAATTCTCTTGACACTGACTGCAATCGACCCACATTTGTCTTAGCCAAATGTTTCTACATACTTATAGTAGCTGTTAACAGTCCATTTTCTTTTTAAATTATTTGCATTCATGTTCTGTTCTCCCTTTTCTTTATCACATTTTTGGTCCCCTTTTCCTATATTCCAAAATCCTCCAAATCCTCTAATTCACTCCTATTACTGGCAACTTATTTCACCATTTCTTTTGATCATGTGCAATCCTTCACTTCCTTTTATAGTCCTGGTTGACTGACCTTTTTAGGTCACTTTTTGCTTTGAGTGAATTTACAATTGTTGTTAGTATCAGTGCGGACCACGCAACCTCAGGCAGTTCATTCACCTCCTGTAGGATGTGCTGAAGCTGTTCCGTAACATCCTTGACCCTGCTGCACCAGAGAAGCCACATGCAGTGTAGAAACACCTGTCTGATAAGGTAGACAGAAAGGACAATTTTCCCCTTGTTGGAAGGGTCAGTGACCAGACGCCATAGAATTAAAGTAAGGGTCAGGAGATTTAGAGGGCGTATGAGGAAAGGATTTGTCTGCCAGAGGATGGTGGGAATCTGCAACTCACTGCCTTTAAGGACGATACAGGCAGAAACCCTCATAACATTTAAGAAGTATGTGCACTTGTGATGCCAAGGCATACGAGGCAATGAGCCAAGGGCTGGAAAAATGAGATTAGAATAGTCAGGTAGTTGTTTTTGCAGAGCATGGATACAATGGGCCATAGGGCCTTTTACTGTGCTGTAGATCTCTATGACTATGACTGTATCTGATTAGCAAGCAGTATCAAATCTGCAGCCTCACGCACTGCCTGCCTAGTTCCGTAAGACTGTCTATTTGTCAGTCATCCATTTCCTCTCTGCCTGGCCACTCCTTAAGCATACCACCCGTGAATTCCTCTGCTTCACAGATGCACAGCAGTGATTTCTAATTTTCAAGTTCTGAAACCCAGATCTTAAGCTTTTGCAACCAGTGAATTTTTCTGCAGATGTTTGTCTGGGACATTTGTTGGATATGCCCCTGCATTCCCACATGTCACAGGGTGTACATTTCACTTGGCTAAGCTGACTGCCATATTGTAATTTTAAAAACTACCTTTTACAATTAGAATAAGTTGAATAACTTAACAGTTACTCACCAAACAGCTTCTTCTGCAGCTCTGTGTACAGAACTAAACTCCTCCTGGCTTTCTTTTTCCTCTTGTGCAAGATTTCAACTTGCATTCTGTTGGAGGATGACAAAATTAGAAAAAGAAAGGAGCACCTTTCTGTGCTCCTCAGAAATTAGAGTTGTGAATGCAGCCCAGTCCATCATGCAAACCAGCCTTCCTTCCATTGACTCTGTCTATACTTACCGCTGTCTCAGGAAAGCGGAGAACGTAATCAAAGACCCCACTCACCCCAGTTATACACTTTTCCACCCTGTTCCATCAGGCAGAAGGTACAAAAATTTGAAAACATACGAACCGATTCAAGAACAGCTTTTTCTCTGCTGTTATCAGACTTATGAACGAATTTCTTAATATATTAGCGTTGATCTTTCTCTGCACCTCTGTAGCTGTAACACTATATTTTGCATTCCGTTCTATTACTTTGATGTACTTATTAGGCATGATTTGCCTGGATAGCACACAAAACAATAGTTTTCACTGTATCTCAGTACATGTGACAATAATAAATGAAATCAAGTCACTGAGCTCCTTTTACTCACCGAACTCTCAGGTATACACTATCTCTTCCAGTTGCACTCCATGATAACTGCACTGTGACATTCATTACATGTACCACTGAAATTTAGGTGAATGATATTTCTGGCAGTTACAGACCTAGATTAGACTAGTTACTTAAATTACTGGAGAGCAGTTCATTAAATTAAATGCTTAACTGCAAACGTCAG